AACAGGAACCTGCTGTAAAACAGCAATTATGCTGAGTCAGGCTTGATTTTTAATAATCTTTTCCTGTTAAATAAATAAATCAAATCAAATCAAATCAGCGTGCACAGCTATCATCACCCAGTTAACACATTTGAGTGGCACCCCACAGAAAATGTAACAACATGCAGATACCTAAAACTAACCATGCGTGGAAACAAGCCACATAAGTTGTTGCAGTTGTGTTAATTGGATTTATTTAAACTTTTCAATTTTTGACCAAGGTAAACAGTTTACACTGTTGGTTTTTGAAAATAATCAGTAATTCATTGGTTCACTGCTTCTGAAATCAAGTATGCAGCATTATTTACTTGTGTCTAGTTCTTCAAAGAACTTTAGTGTGTTTCTTATTCACCTGTTGTCATACATGTTGTTTTTCATTATCCTTTGCCACTATAAACTCTCAAGTAAATAACAGGAGAAAAAAAAAATTTTTTTGGTAAAATAGGTTCTTTCATGCATGGACAAACAGGTCCTGTTCTAAATCTGTCTTTAGATAGAAAAAAATAGTGATTTTAACAGACTATCAGTGAGCTCTGCATCTGTGCAGCACAGACCAGCTGTTGAGAATCTAACAGCAGTAAAGTCTCTTAGGCACTGCATTACGCTGACATTACTTCAAGGAAAACAGATAGAGGATGAAAGTGAGTGTGTCTGTTCTCGCATACATGCGAGTGTGTGTAGGTGGGTGTCAGGGGTGTTATAAAGCTTGTGACCAAATGGCTCTTCTACTTTGCTTCGGGAAATTGTTTGGTTTAAAGTGTTGTGTTTGCCATTGGAGTAAAATGAAAATACAAATGTACCCCGCCGTGTCTGTGTCTAGTCTCCTCGCTCAGCTGCAGGCCCAGCAAGGCAGGTGAATTAGTAGCAAAGTAATACTTATCATTCATTCATTCATTTCCAAGTCAGCTTTGTCCTGCTCAGGGTTGTTTGGTGGGGGGCTGGAGCTTATTCTCTCAATCGAACAAGAGGTGCAATACACTCTGTATGAATCAACAGTGCCTCGCCATGGAAGTGTTTTTTTTTTTCTTTAAGTAGGTTAAAATATAAACAATGAGCTTTCCCACTTTTTACATATGAGTAAGTACACTTTCACATCAAACTGGGGTCCTTTACCAGACACCAGCTTAAGGGTTTTGCTCAGTATCTTCAATGTACTGTGTGCCCTTCTGGAAAGAGATCTTTGAAGTTCCCCTTGGGATCTGCCAAAGCCACTTTGGGGCTTGGGGAAAGGGGGGAGGTGGTCGCAACAAAGAGCACTGACCACTGAGACTTTGACTTTCTACAAGTTCTCTTATTTCCTCGTTAAGCCCTTTTTATTTCTTGGGGTCCTCGAAGTGTTTATGGATTTAAAATTTAGCTAGGGACTTTCTGTTTATAGTTAGCATGTTTTCTTCATGAATGCAACTTGATTTTTACTCTGTATGCTACATAAATGGGAGATCAAAGATGCAAATGACGGACATCATTTTCGAAACAGCACACAAGCGTCCTATGGCGTGTATGCAAGCATCGACCATAAGTTATCCTAACTTTGGTAAATATCATCTACCTTGCCTGTTGGGCTGGTTTCTCTGGCTTGCTGCTGTTGTAGTGTGTCTCGGTGGAGTGGCGGATGTGGATGGAGTCCCTATTATTATTGTTATTTTTTTATTATTATTTCAATTACAAAGGCTAAAAACAGGCTACATATATAT